CAAAGAGACAGAAAGAGAGAGACAGACAGAGAAAGATGGAGGGAGGGTGAGAAAGACAGACAGAAAGAGAGAGAGGGAGGGAGAGAGAGAGACAAAGGGAGAGAAGGAGGGGGGAGAGAGACAGAAAGGGAAGGAGGGAGAGAGAGGGGGAGGGAGAGAAAGGGAGGGAGAGGCAGACAGAAAGACGGGAAGGAGAGAGAAAGAGACAGAGAGGGAGGAAGAGACAGACAGAGAAAGACAGGGAGGGAGGGAGAGAGAAAGACAGGGAGAGAAAGGGAGAGACAGAAAGGGAGGGAATGAGGGGAGACAGACAGACAGAGAGAAAGGGAGGGAGAGACAGACACAGAAAGACGAGAGGAAGAGAGAGAAAGACGGAGAGGAAAGGAGGGAGGGAGAGAGACAGACAGAGAAAGACGGAGGGAGAGAGAGAAAGGGAGGGAGGGAGAAAAAGAGACAGAGAGAAAGGGAGGGAAGGGGTGGAGAGAGGCATTTGAATTACATTGATGAAATGCAAAATTACATATTTAATTTTCATAGTATCTTAAGTCTTGTATCTATGGGCCACTTGTACATACACAAATTTAGCAAGCAAATAATAACGCAAAAGGATCTTCTGAGTAGAACATTTGCATGTTCCAGCTTTCCTGTTTGTCCATTGTGTTCTTTAAGGCCAGAGGGACCGTTTTAATAATAAATTGCCCATTTATTTTCCTTAGTTTGGTTAGGATCAGGTGTTACTGGTTAAGGTGGTGTAGTAGGGACTCCTGGGGGGGGGGGGGGGGGGAGTTGGACTAGAATCCCTTCCGACTCTGTTACTCTGTTAACGGCTTGAGCGGGGTAGATATGAATACGACTTGACACTGTGCTGAATTCAAATTCCTCCCACCCCTTAGAGGGAAGACGGTGATTTGGGAGATTCTTAGCAAAAACTAGCCAAAGCAGGGGGTTGGACTAGAAGACCTCCAAGGTCCCTGCCAACTTATTCTATTCTATTCTATTCTATTCTTCATCCAATATCTATTCTATTTTCTA